TTGGTGTGCCATGAGCGCTGAGAGGCCTGGGGGTTGTGGGGCACACGCCACCTCCACTTGCTTTGATGCCTGTCACTCCTGGTTCCATGGAAGATGGCCAGATGCGTCTCCGCCCGAAGGCCCTTCTTCAGGCCCCCAGCCTTTCTGTGGCAACGCAGCGCTGGAAGAGCCCAGGGCATGATTATGCGGTTGTCTATAGCTTTGTATTTACTAACAAATACCAGGAGTTTATCTTTAGCACTTTTCACAGACCACATTTGGTTCTATCTGATTTTTTTCTTTCCTATTTTGTCTTTTTTTTGTGTGTGAAAATACTGTACAGAGGGGTTACAATGACTTGGGCAACATAATGAGTACATTTCTTATCAAGCATTGTAGCCTCCTCCTTTGTTTCCCCTTCCCATCCTCCCCCCCCACCTGACTATTTGCAGAGCAATACAGTGAATGCTTAATCTCACAGCTTGACTATAACTGTAATCACGTCAGTGAGAGGGCTGGGCAGGTAGCTCACACCTGTAATCCTAGCTACTCAGGAGACTGAGATCTGGTGATCATGGTTCAAAAGTCTGACTCCCCTCCAATGAACCATGCCAACAAACAAACAAAGAAAGCTGAAAGTGGCGCTGTGGCTCAAGTGGTAGAGGACTAGCCTTGAGCACAAAAGCTCAGGGACAGAGCCCAGGCCCAGAGTTCAAGCCCCAAACCCGACAAGGGAAGTAGGCCTCAACCTTCCTAGTAGTAGGATTAAGGGCATGAGCCTCGAGCGCCTAGCATATGCTGGTTGTTGTTGTTTTTAATACTGTTCGCAAGTAAACTACTTTGTAAACACAATATCAGTCATATTTGAGAAAAAATAACTTTTTTTTTTGTCGGTTGTGGGGCTTGAAGTCTGGGCCTGGGCGCTGTCCCTCAGCTCTTCAGCTCAAGGCTAGCGCTCTATCACTTGAGCCACAGCACCACTTCCGCCTTTTTCTGCTTATGTGGTGCTGAGGAATTGAACCCAGGGCCTCATGCATGCAAGGCAAGCGCTCTACCACTGAGCCACCTTCCCAGCCACGTAAAAAGAACTTTTTGGTGAAAATGATACAGAATACAGAATTTGAGCCAGACACAGGTGGCTCATGCCTGTAATCCCAGCTACTCAGGAGGCTGAGATCTGAGGATCACAGTTTAAAGCCAGCCGGGGCAGACATGTCCCCAAAAGACCCCATGAGACCATTAACTCCAATGAACCACTCAAAAACTGGAAGTGGTGCTGTGGCTCAAGTGGTGGCATGCTAACTTTGAGCACAAAGAGGCTCAGGGACAGTGCCCAGGCCCTGAGTTCAAGCCCCACAACCAACCGAAATAACACACACACACATACACACACAAAACCAAAAACCCAATGTGACCCCAGGCTAGTTTGTGTCTACCGTTTTGTTTTTGTGTTTTTTTTTCCCCTGCCCCTGTGTCTACCCTTTTGTGACTGGAGACCCCACTTTCTCTGCGTGCCACTCACCTGGCTTTTGTACCAGTCCTTAATGTTCTGATCTTCCCATTTTTCTCCTGAAATGGAGATGATTAATCATGATCAAAGTTTACAAAAATTCCATAAGTAAAAAACAAAACAAAGCCAGGCGCTGGTGGCTCATGCCTATAATCCTAGCTACTCAGGAGGCTGAGTTGTGAGGATCGCCTTTGAAAGCCAGCTCCAAAGCCAGCTTGGGCAGGAGAGTCCCGTGAGACTCTTATCTCCAAAAACAAACAAACAAACAAAAACCCACTAGAAAACCAGAAGTGGTGCATTGGCGGCTTAAGGGGTAGAGCGCTCGCCTTGAGCTGAGGAGCACAGGGACAGCGCCCAGGCCTGAGTTCAAGCCCCAGGACTGGCCCAAATTAAAAAAAAAAAAAGGGAGCTGGGAAGATGGCCTAGTGGTAGAGCGCTTGCCTTGCATGCATGAAGCCCTGGGTTTGATTTCCCAGTACCACATACACAGAAAAAGCTGGAAGTGGCGCTGTGGCTCAAGTGGCAGAGCTTTGAGCAAAAGCAGCTCAGGGACAGCGCCCAGGCCCAGAGTTCAAGCCGCAGGACTGGCAAAAAAAAAAAAGGAAAAAGAAAACAGAAAATGAAATGTAAGCTATCAATCAGAAGGCACCAGCTGGCTTGGGGATGCGGCTGAATGGTGAGGGGCGTGGCTCTGGGTAGAAGCTAGCCAGGTACTGAGGGGGTTCGGTTGTTGCAATCCACACAAACTAGTACCTATGTTACTAGGTACTTTCCACCTGAAGAGGGCAAATAGGCATCAGGATGACGGTCACCAACCAGATCTTTCCTTTCCCTTGTTTACCTAGAAGCGCCTCACCCTTTCCCCTTCTGTCAGAGACACCTTCCCAGCTCCCCTTTTTTCCCCCTTCTTCTGTCATCAGCCTGGTATGGCACTTCAGATTCACCAATCATTTGTTTGCTCCACTGAAGTTTGTGTGTGTGTATGTGTGTGTGTGTGTGTGTGTGTGTGCTGGTCCTGGGCACTGTCCTTGAGCTTTTTTCTTCAAGGACCCTACCACTTGAGCCACAGTGCCACTTCTGGCTTTTTGGGGTGGTTAATTGGGAGGTTAAGACACACAAGGCCTTTCCTATGTGGGCTGGCTTCAAATCTTGATCCTTAGATCTCGGCTTCCGGAATATCTAGGTTTTTACGGGGGTGAGCCTCACACTGCTTTTTGATGGTTACTGGGGAGATGGTGTCTTTAGAGACTTTGCTCTAAAGGTCTGGAACTGCCATCTACGGGATTTCAGTCTCCTCAATCACTAGGATTACAGCTCCCCTGAACTCTTTGAAATGGTCTCGTGACTCAGTTTACCTCCAAACAATGACACCCGTGAACCGTAAGCATGCCAGGTACACCTACTAACATATCACATCTCCACAGAGCCAATCCTGATAGGGCATGTTCATTCCTATCCCAGGCAAACTGACTGGAGGCAAGGGGGAGAGGCCACTCTCACCTACAAAGGCCAAGTTCTGGAAAGTTTCTAGCATCACCTCCTTGTAGAGCTTCTTCTGGGAAGTGTTCAGGAGCACCCACTCCTCCAGGGTGAAGTCCACAGCCACATCTCCAAGGACCACTGAATCCTATAATATCCAAGGTATACAGGCAAGAGGAATAAGACGCAGGCCCAGGAATCTCCACTCAGCTCAGAAGAGGTTTCTATATGGCTCTGTGGTCTTTGAATGTTCTCTCTGCGATTTAAGAACTTGTACCACAGAGGCTGACTCTCTCTCTCTCTCTCTCACACACACACATATACACACACATAATAAATGTGTGTGTGGCCGGGCGCTGGTGGCTCACGCCTGTCATCCTAGCTACTCAGGAGGCTGAGATCTGAGGATCGCGGTTCAAAGCCAGCCCGGGCAGGAGAGACCGTGAGACTCCCATCTCCAATAAACCACCAGAAAACCGGAAGTGGCGCTGTGGCTCAAGTGGCAGCCTTGAGCTGAAGAGCTGAGGGACAGCGCCCAGGCCCAGAGTTCAAGCCCCACGACCGACAAAAAAAGAAAAAATGTGTGTGTGTGTGTGTGTGTGTGTGTGTGTGTGTGTGTGTGTGTGTGTGTGTGTGTGTGTGTGTGTATAAGCAGTCCCCGGGGGGACTGGGCCGGGGGCTGACGTCGGGGAGGCCGCTTCCAGCCCGGTGGAACAGCCCTTCCTCAGGCCCGCACGCCCGGCCCCGCGCCCACCATCTCCCGGCTTCTTCCCGCGGCTCCCGCGGCCTCGCGCCGGAGCCGGAGCTGCCCCGCGCCCCGCGCCCCGCGCCCCGCGCCCCGCGCCCCGCGCCCCGCGCCCCGCGCCCCGCGCCCCGCGCCCCGCGCCCCGCGCCCCGCCCAGAGACCAGACAGGCGGAGGGGCGGAGGCGCGCGGCGTCGCCCCGCCCACACCCGCCCTGCGGCGTCCCTGATTGGACAGCTCGTGAAGACACGCCCTCTCCCGCCGAGGGGGAGGCGGCCTAAGGACCCGGGAATCTTGTCTGTCTCCTGAGCTAGAGAGATCAAGCTGAACTTGATCTGATCTGCACCCGGGGCTGGATGTGGGTAGTCTGGCTTGCTTCTGAGTTTTCGAGGGTTGTTTTATTGTTGTGCAGGTCCTGGGGCTTGAGCTCAGGGCCTGGGCGCTGTCCCTGAGCTTTCCCCACCCCCCCCTAAGGCTAGGGTTCTACCACTAGAACCACAGCTTCACTTCTAGTGGTTAATTGCATATAAATGGAGTTTAAGAGACTCGCCGACTTTCCTGCCCGGGCTGGCTTAGCATTTACACCTGTGAACCACCTGCAGCTGCTGTGGATCAAAAGAGTGTACCCAGACTCTCTTTCTAGATTAAATGGAGGCTCTTAGTCCACAGCAAGGGGGGCATCTAGGTCTGGCCGCACAGAAAATAAACTTGATGTCACAAATAATGTGTGTCCTCACCAGGCCGGGGGTCAGGGACTAATGTCTGTAAGCCTAGCTACTGAGATCTGAGATAGCAGTTGGTTAGTCAGTAAAGTCTCTGAGAGACTACTCTCCAATGCACCACCAGAAGCTGGAAATGGAGCTGTGGTTCAAGTGGTAGAGCCCAGGCCCCGAGTTCAAGCCCTAGGACAAACTAAGTAAAGAAAATAAAATATAAACCTCGGAGCATTTTTTTTTTAATCAGGAGGCTGAGATCTGAGGGTCGCGGTTCGCAGCCAGCCGGGTCAGGTCAGAAAAAGCCAGAAGTGGCGCTGTGGCTCTAATGGCAGAGTGCGAGTCTTGAGCACCAAAGCTCGGGTGACAACTCGCAGGCCCTGAGTTCAAGCCCCCAGGACCGACAAAACCAAAACAAAACCACCACACCCGCAGTGCCTGACTCGCCCCCACACTCCGGGAGAACCACAGGGCGTTCCGCTAGGTGACTTCCAGACCGGCCGTCACTCAGGCGACCTGGGGTGGAGCCATCCGAAGCTTCGTCCAATCAGAGGCGCGGGTGTGACAATGGGCGGGCTCAGGTAGCTGCTGTGGGGCTGGCTCGGAGGGTTCCGCCGCGGCGGTGGTGGAACCCGCATCTAACACGTGCGGCGGGCCATGGTGAGTGCGGGGCTGGGCGTTGGGAAAGCAGAGGCGGGAGTGGGACCCGGGCTCGGGCCCCGACGCCTCAGCGTGGGCAGCGGCCGTTTCCCCTTGCCCGCCCCCTCCCAGGCTGGGGCTGGACGGGAAGCCGGGGTCTCGGAGGCCTGGCCTGGCCCCGAGCGGGGCCCCGCCCCGCTAGCTTCGAGCCACAGCGCCACTTCCGGTTTTCTTGAGTAGTTATTGGAGGTAAGAGCCTCTTGAACGCGCTGGGAAGATAGTTCAGTGGTAGCGCGCTTGCCTTGCGTGCCTGAGGCCCTGGGTTCGATTCCACTGCACCGCAGAAAAGGCCGGAAGTGGCGCTGTGGCTCCAGTGGTAGATGGATGGGAAAAAGAAGGCTCTTGGAGGCTGGGAAACGAGTCTTATGGGCTTTTCTTGCTCGGGCTGGCTTTAAACCTTCATCCTCAGATCTCTGGTACCAGACTACCTAACTTTTTTTTTGGGGGGGTGGGCTGGGAAGGGGGGACTTGAACTCAGGGCCTCAGGGCCTGGCTGTCCCTGAGCTTTTTACTCTACCACTTTGAGACACAGCTCCACTTCGTTTTCTGATGGTTAATTGGAGATAACAGTCACAAGGACTTTCTTGCCCAGGCTGGTTTTGAACTGTGAGCCTCAGATCTCAGCCTCCTAAGTAAGCAGCATTGCAACATGAGCTTCCAGTATCCAGCTTTGTTGTTTTTTTGTGTCAGTACTCATGCTGGAACTCAATCAATCACGCTCTTACTCAGCTTTTTATCTACAGCTGTGGATATAAGGGTCTCATAATGTAGTTTAGCCTGATTTGGAATTCCCTATGTAGAACAGGCCAACCTTGAAGTTAAAATGATTCTTTTACTTCTAACTCTGGGATTACACCTTTATGCCATTATATCCAACTTTTCTTCTATATTCTCTGTGTTGTGGAACAGTGCCTGTATTTCCTCAACCAAGCTAGATGCTTTCTTCTCCTCTGTAACTACATTCCTTCCATTCCCTGATAAGTCAACATGTCTATTTTATTCTATCCTTTCTCTATTCTTTACTTAAGTCAATTAGATTTTTCAACTTCTTACCTTCAAATTTCCTATAGTCCTTTTAACTTCCATCTCTCCCTTTTTCTGGTCTCTGTTCACATTCCTTATTAGTGTCTTTAAAAACATCCCATTCCTACCTAACATTTTTTATACCTTTTAGTCTTAAGGACCTGATTTTTTTCCATGAAGTTCAAAATTAAAGAATAGTGACCCATGAGCTGGGCGTGGGTGGCTCACGCCTGTCATCCTATCTACTCAGGAGGCTGAGATCTGAGGATCATGGTTCAAAGCCAGCCCGGGCAGGAAAGTTCATGAGACTCTTTTTATTTTTATTTTTTTTAATTGTGAAAAAACCATACAGAGGGGTTACAATTACATGGGCAAGATAATGAGTACATTTCTTGTCAAGCCCCGCGCGCGGGCGCCCTGCGGGTCCCCACGCTGTGAGGAGTCGGCGGGAGGGTCCTGGGGGGCTCCCCTGCCTCGTGTGGGTGTGTTCTGGGGGGGGGGCTGTGGGGGTCCCCCATCCATTCTTGATCCCCTTACAGATTTCTTCACGTGTGGGAAGCAGGGTCTCCAGATGTGACATTAGGGCTGGTGATGAATCCTGAAACTTCCAGAACCTTCCCTCAGTCCCACACACCATGGACAGTGGCACCATGGCTTATCGCTTCCCCAGTCCAATCAGATGCAGGTGAGTGAGTGTGTGTGTGTGTGTGTGTGTGTGTGAATATATATGTATGTCCTATATGAGTATATATATTATTTAATAGTCATTTCGCCATAGATGAATTGGTGGGTCTTTTTCTTTGTTTAAAAAAAACCGATTAAATTGTGCATTTAAATTAAATTTAAAGTGTGTGTATGTGTGCGTGCGTATGTGCCCCAGTTCTGGGGCTTGAACTCAAGGGCCTGAACACTGTCCCTTTTTGTTCAAGGCTCTACCATTTGAGCCACACATCCACTTCTGGCTTTTTTGGTGGTTCCTTGGAGATAAGAGACTCATGGACCCCGCTTTCTCTATATTTGATGTCAGTATAACATGTGGAGGAGATGGGGACAAACAAGCCGTTTAAGGATTCAGGTGGACCTGTTGCAACAATGAGAAGTACAAAATGTCATGTCAAAACCAGCTTTACAATGTCGGTGTGGGGGGGAGGGGGGGAAGGATTGGGTGGGGGGGAGGGGGGAGGCTGGGAAGGGACGTGAAGGATAAACAAAGGAGGAGGCTACAATGCTTGGTAAGAAATGTACGCATTATCCTGCCCATGTAATTGTAACCCCTCTGTACAGTATGTTCTCAAATAAAATAAAATAAAATTAAAAAAAAAAGAGAGTCTCATGGACTTTCCTTCCCCGGTTTGGCTTCAAACCAATATCCTCAAATCTCAGCCTCCTGAGTAGCTAGGATTACAGGATGAGCCAAGGCCCTGCTATATTCAGCCTGTGTTATGTATATTATACCAAAGGACTCAACCATTTATCGCTTGAGGAGAGTTCTGGCCTGGCACGGAACCTCTCAGATCAGTCTCTCGAGTAGATATGATTACAGATGTGAGTCATGATGCTTGACTGACTTTTCTATCCTTTGAATGTAATCTGGCTAGGTGTGCACTTTTTGATATTTATCATCTGCCATTCCAGAAAAATCTCCCTTGTAGCTTCAATTACTTTTTCCATATTTCCATATTTCTCTCATGTATTCTATTATATGCATTTGTATTTATATTTTTGTAATATCTAGAGTATTGGGTATTTTTGGGGGGGCGGAGGGGTCTGGTACTGGGGCTTGAACTCAGGGCCTTACATTCTCCATTCACTTTATCACTCACAGCTGGTGCTCTACTACTCATCCACAGCTCCACTCTCCACGCTTTGATGACTGATTGGTGATTAGGGTGTCACAGACTTTCTTGCTGGGGTGGCTTACTACTGTGATCTTCAGAGCTCAGCCTTTTGCATAGCTAGGATTACAGGCTTCAGCCACTACATCCCCATGAATAATCTTTTTTCCATTTTTAAATTTTTATTTTTGATGGTTATCTCTTTTTTTGTCGGTCGTGGGGCTTGAACTCTGGGCCTGGACACTGTCTCTCAGCTCTTCAGCTCAAGGCAAGCACTTTGCCGCTTGAGCCACAACGCTACTTCTGGTTTTCTAGTGGTTTATTGGAGATACAAGTCTCAGGGACTTTCCTGCCTGGGCTGGCTTTGAACTGTGATCCTCCGATCTCAGCCTCCTGAGGAGCTGGGATGACAGGCGTGAGGACCGGCACCTGGCTGGTTATCTTTTTTTGAAGTTACTTTGTAGTTGTAGAGGTAATGTACAGAGGGGTTACTTTTACATGAGCTGGCTAACGTACATTTCCTTTCATCCAGTGTCTCCTGTGCCCGTCCCGCCCCCAGCCCCTCCCTGCTGTCCTCTCCTGTGAGTTGTGTAACTCACTTTCATCAACGTCCAGGGAGCGCCACTGCTGCACTTGTTCGCCTTTATTCCTCAAGTTCTGCGCCCCCCCCCCAAGACACATGTGAATGTACCATGAATAACGTAAAGAAGACAGAATCATCAAAAACGAAAACGAAAAAAGAAATGTTTAAAAAAAAGTCTTTTGTTTCCCTATCTTGGGAGTTTGTTTCAGAATGTAGATTATTTTATATAAATATGAAGAGGCACTTAGGCATTGCACCTTTGGGATTCTCTCCTAAGACTGTCCTCTATTGGTCTCACGGAGAGGATCTAGAATTGTCACATCCCAATGTGTTTTAGGTCTAACTTCTGCATATCAGAGAGACTGTGTATCATTTGTCTCTTTGATCTTGGCTTACCTCATTTAATATGATTTGTTCTAGTCCCAGCCATTTTCCCTGAAAATGACATTATTATTATTATTATTGCCAGTCCAGGGACTTGAATTAAGGGCCTGTGCACTGTTCCTGAGCTTCTTTTGCTCAAGGCCAACACTCTATAACTTGAGCTACAATGCCACTTCTGGCTTTTTCTGTGTATGTAGTACTGAGGAATCAAACCCAGGGCTTTATGCATGCTAGGCATGCACTCTACCACTAAGCCACATTCCCAGCTGCAAATGACATTATTTTATTTTTTCTAATGGCTGTGTAAAATTCGTCTAGCATGTGTTTACCAGTTGAGTTTCCATAGGCTTCCTGTGATCATGGTTGTAATGATAACAGAAGAATTAATAAGCCACACACTCAAGAAAGAGTACAAATTTATGTTTTATGTTAAAATCTCACACACATTTGAGCTTGTAGCTGAAGGAAAGCTCTGTGATAAGGGAATTGTTAGTCGTGTGTGTGTGTGTGTGTGTGTGTGTGTGTGTGTATGTGTGTGTGTGTGTGAGTGTGTGAGAGAGAGAGAGAGAGAGACAGACAGGGAGAGAGTCAGAGACAGAGAGAGAGAGAATATGTATCCCTGAGTTTTCATGCTCAAGGCTAGAGCTTTACTACATGAGTCATAACTCTACTTCTAGCTTTTTTTTTTTTTTGTCGGTTGTGGGGCTTGAACTCTGGGCCTGAGCGCTGTCCCTCAGCTCTTCAGCTAAAGCGAGTGCTCTACCACTTGAGCTACAGCGCCACTTCCGGTTTTCTGGTGGTTTATTGGAGATAGAAGTCTCACGGTCTCTCCTGCCCAGGCTGGCTTTGACCCGCGATCCTCAGATCTCAGCCTCCTGAGTAGATAGGATGACAGGCGTGAGCCACCAGCGCCCAGCTTACTTCTAGCTTTTTTGGTAGTAAATTTGATGGTTGGCCAAAATGTTGGTCTTAAAATGGAACTGTGCTGGGCGCTGATGCTCACTCCTGTAATCCTAGCTACTCAGGAGGCTGAGATCTGAGGATCGAAGTTCAAAGCCAGTCCAGGCAGGAAAGTCCATGAGACCCTTATCTCCAATTAACTATAAAAAATCCAGAAAGTAGGGACTGGGAAGGTGGCTCAGTGGTAGAGCGCTTGCCTTGCATGCCTGAGGCCCTGAGTTCGATTCCTCAGCACCACATAAGCAAAAAGAAAAAAGCTGGAAGTGGCACTGTGGCTCAAGTGGTAGAGCGCTAGCCTTGAGCAGAAGAGCTGAGGGACAGCGCCCAGGCCCAGAGTTCAGGCCCCACGACCGGACCCCCCCCCCCAAAAAAAAAAAAAATCCAGAAAGTAGAGCTATAGTTCAATGTGGTGAAGCACTAAGCCTTGAGCACAAACGCTCAGGGATAGTGCCCTGAGTTCAAGCCCCAGGACTAGCACCAAAAAAGAGAAAGTATTTGTTTAACTTGTATAGAATTGCTCCAAGATACTGTGCCTCTTGTCATTGGAGAGTAATCAGATTTGACTGTAGTAGAAATCATTTCCATGTGTTTGTGGTGGTATTAATTTGTGAGCAAGTCACTATGGACAGATGTGGGGTTTGGAAGGCTAAGATATCAATCACATCAGTGTTTGGAGATCATAGAACTATTTTTTTTTCTTCCAGTCCTGGGGCTTGAACTCAAGGCCTGGGCACTATCCCTGAGCTCCTTTTGCTCAAGGCTAGTGCTCTACCACTTGAGCCACAGTGTCATTTCTGGCTTTTTGTTGTTGTTGGTCATGGGGCCTGAACTCTGGGTCTGGGCGCTGTCCATCAGTTCTTCAGCTCAAGGCTAGCGCTCTACCACTTGAGCCACAGCGCCACTTCTGGCTTTTTTCTTTTTGCTTATGTGGTGCCAAGGAATCGAACCCAGGGCCTCATGCATGCAAGGCAAGCACTCTACCACTGAGCCACCTTCCCGGCCCTCTGGCCTTTTCTGTTTATGTGGTACTGAGGAATAGAACCCAGGGCTTCATGCATGCTAGACAAGCACTCGGTAAGCCACCTTCCCAGCCTCATAGAGCTACTTTTTTGGGATATTTAAAAAATTTTAAATAAAAAATTATTGTCCAAATGACTGCCATCAGAACGAAAGAAAGAAAAGAAAGAAAGAAAGGAAGGAAGAGGAAGGAAGGAAGGAAGGAAGGAAGGGAAAAGAAAGATGAAAACATATTTTCAGCCTTATGACCCTCAAATCATGCTTCCAGTCCCGGCTCACTGCAGGTTGAAAGCAACTGGTCCCCCATCAGGCCTTCCCTCCCATCATTTACCTATTCTAGAACCAGATTATAGGGTGAGGGGTTTGGACTGAGAGAGGACTCAGTTTCACAGTAGCAGTGCAAGATGCTGAGCCTTGGTAGTGCATCCTCCCTTCTGTGAAGCTGTACAAACAGTTCTGAGAGCGGTACTTCCCACAGAGCCACTAAAGATCTCAGTGGTTGGCTCTGGGCTGTCATTCTTAGCCTCTTCCTCCTCCTCCTCCTCCTCCTCCTCTTCCTCCTCCTCCTTCTCTTCTTCTTCTTTTTTCAGTCAGTCATGGGGCTTGAACTCTGGGCCTGGGCACTGTCCCTCAGCTCTTCAGCTCAAGGCGAGCGCTCTACCACTTGAGCCACAGCACCACTTCCAGTTTTCTAGTGGTTTATTGGAGATCAGTCTCACAGACTTTCCTGCCCGGGCTGGCTTTGAACCGTGATCCTCAGATCTCAGCCTCCTGAGTAGCTAGGACAGGCGTGAGCCACGGACACCCAGCTTCACCCAGCTTAGCCGTCTTCTTTTATGCAAATGTATCGGGATGTTTCAGGACACAGTGGTCTTTGAGGACGTGGCCATGAACTTCACCCAGGAGGAGTGGGTTCTGCTGCGTACTTGCCAGAGGAAGCTCTTCAGAAATGTGATGCAGGAAACCTTCACTAACTTGGCTTCTATTTTTTTTTTTTTTGGGGGGTCCTGTGGTGGAGCCTGAATTCTGGGCCTGGGCGCTGTCCCTCAGCTCTTCAGCTCAAGGCTAGTGCTCTACCACTTGAGCCACAGTGCCACTTCCGGCTTTTTCTGCTTATGTGGTGCTGAGGAATGGAACCCAGGGCCTCATGCATGCAAGGCAAGCGCTCTACCACTGAGCTGCCTTCCCAGCCCTCATTTAAAAATCTTAAACCACTAGTTAGTGTAAAAATTAATAAAAATCTACTAATCATGTGCTGCTACTAATTTTTTTTTTTTTTTTTTTTACAAGCGTTCCTGTAGAAGAGAGACTCAGGGAAAGGAAAGCTCATCCACACAGAGAACCTAGCCAGCCTGCAGGTCGCCCAGCCAACAAGAAAACTGTGCGTGGAGCAAAGCCCTATGAATGCAGCATGTGTGTGGGAAGCCCACACGTGTCCTTCGTCGCTGAAAAGACACAGCAAGTCTCACACTGCGGAAAGCCGGCGGGGGCCGCCAGTATGAGGGAAGGCCTGCGAGGGTCAGGACTGTGGAAAAACCTTCAGCTTTCGAAGCTCCCGTCAGATCCACGGAAGGACTCCCACGGGAGAGAAACCCTATCAGTGCCAGGAGTGGGGAAAGCCTTCAGCTGGCCTAGCCCCTTCCAGAGCCGCAAACCACACGGGAGAGAAGCCCTGCACGTGTCACGAGTGTGGGAAGGCCTCCATTGGCCGCACCACCTTCCGAGGTCATATGAGAATCACGCGGGGAAAGCCCTGTCAGTGCGGGGAATGCGGAGAACCTTCCGCCACGCAGCTGCTTTCGAAACCACGAAAGAACCCACTCAGGAGAGAAACGCTGTGAAGGTAAGCAGTGTGGCAAAGCGGCCAGGTATTCCCAGACGTTCCAAATCCACGAAAGGACTCCCACGGGAGAAAAACCCTACCAGTGCCCGCAGTGTGGAAAGGCCCTCAGCCGTCCCACAGCCTTCCCACGTCAGGAACGGAGCCACGCTGGCGATAAACCGTATCAGTGTCGGAAATGTGGCAAAGCCTTCAGTTTTCCTAGTTCTTTTAGAAAACACGAGCGGATTCACACCGGAGAGAAACCTTCCGATGAAGGAGTGTGGCAAAGCCTTCATCTCTCCCCCAAGCTACCGGAGACACATGATCTTGCACACGGGCGTGCAGCAAAGCCTTCGATTGTCCCAGTTCCTTTCAGATCCACGAGAGAACGCACACGGGCGAGAAGCCGTACGCGTGTAAGCAGTGTGGGAAAGCCTTCAGTCGCTCCAGTTCCATCAGGATCCACGAGCGGACCCACACGGAGGAAAAGCTGTACGGATGTAAGCAGTGTGGGAAAGCCTTCAGTCGCTCCAGTTCCATCGGGATCCACGAGCGGACCCTCACGGGGGAAAAGCTGTACGGATGTAAGCAGTGTGGGAAAGCCTTCAGTTGCTCCAGTGCTGTGCGCATGCACAAGTGGACCCACGCAGAACAGAAGCCTTATGAGTGTCAGCAGTGTGGAAAGGCCTTCACACGTTCCCGATCCTTCCAGATCCACGCAAGAACTCATACCGGAGAGAAACCCAATGAGTGTCAGCAGTGTGGAAAGGCCTTCACACCTGCCCGTGCCTTTCGAATACACGGACGACCTCACGCTGGGCAGGAACGGAACACACACAGCCTGGCAAAGCCCTCCTTTGTCCCAGGGCCCTTGGGACAATGTCCCTTGGCTGGGAGAAGCCCCGGGAATATCAAATGTGGAGAAAACCAGAGACACAGGCTGTGGGGAAGGCTTCAGTGTGGGAAAAGCTTCAGTGATGGCCCAACATGTTGCCAACACATTAAAGATGCAGATATAGCTGGGCGCCGGTGGCTCACACCTGTCATCCTAGCTACTCAGGAAGCTGAGATCTGAGGATCAAGGTTCGAAGCCAGCCCGGGCAGGAAAGTCCCTGTGAGACTCTTATCTCCAATGAACCACCAGAAAAGTGGAAGTGGTGCTGTGGCTCAAGTGGTAGAGCGCTCGCCTTAAGCTGAAGAGCTGAGGGACAGCGCCCAGGCTGAAGATTGTCCACAGACTGTCCACAGACTCCCTGGAGAGCAACTTACTGAATGTGAGCAGTGTGGTACAGCCTTTCGTGGCATTGGGTAGAAGCCTTGTGTGACACGTCACCCCCTCTGTCCGACTTGGATCCTACGTCAAAATGTCCCCTGCAGATGTGGATAGTATGGGGAAATCTTATAAAAATCCATCCATGTTTGTTGTTCTAGAAAATTCATGTCATCAAAGAAGTGTTATAGCCTGGTGTCGGTGGCTCACGCCTGTAATCCTAGCCACTCAGGAAGCTGTGATTCAAAGCCAGCCCAGGCAGGAAAGTCCATGAGACTTTTAACTATAATAAACCACCAGAAAACCGGAAGTGGCGCTGTGGCTCAAGTGGTAGAGCGCTAGCCTTGAGCTGAAGAGCTGAGGGACAGCGCCCAGACCCAGAGTTCAAGCCCCACGACCTACCAAAAAAAGAAGTGTTATTAGACTCAAACATTAGCCTTATCAGTTGTTCATTCTTTTTCCTTTATTTTCTTCTTTCTCTCTCTCTCTCTTCCTTCCTTCCTCTCTCTCTCTCTGTCTTTCCTTCTTTCCTTCTTCCTTTCTTTTTGTGCTCCAGTCCTAGGGTTGAACTGAGGTCCTGGCCACTGTCCTTGAGTTTTTTCTGCTTAAGGCTGGTGCTCTACCTCATCAGCCACTGCTCCACTTCTGGGGTTTTGTGGTTAATTAGAGATAGGATTCTCCTATCTCTTCCTGCCTGAGCTCACTGTGAACCCAAACCATCATCCTCCGGTCTCAGCCTCCTGAGTAGAGTTTGAACTTGGGCTTTTGTACTTGCTAGGTACTCTAGCCACTCCCGTAGCTGACAGGAGCCAAAAGGGAGTCTCTCAACATGATAGGCTTGACTATCTCACTGGAACATCTTGCGGCTGAGTTTACAGAACCGCCCTCAGGAATCCGACCCTCATCCTGCCCTACGCAAACCTCCTGCACTGCTACGGCCAAGGAAAAAGCTTCCTTATTCCAAGCATATAAATACCCCTGTGTGAAAACACAAATTTGCAGCTTGATCAGAACCCCTGTCTTGCTGTCATTCTTCGTGTCTCTGTCCCTTCATTCCTTCTCGCTTAGGTTCACCGCCCTCGTTGGCGTCCTGCGGGCCGGGACGCGTAGCCATTTTTGTGTATTTGGTTTCTGAGACCAGTCTCCCCTGCTCCCTGCAAGCGGGTGTCACTCCGTGAGCCTCCTCTTTATACTTCCTGCTGTAGCAGGGGTGACAGGCTTGCACCACCGCACCTGGCTTCTTCTAAGATGGCCTTTTTTCTTTCTTTTTGGTTCTGGTTCTGGGGCTTGAACTTAGGGCTTGAGCCTGGGTGCTGTCCTTCAGCTTCTTTTGCTCCACTTCCAGCCCCCTTTTTTTTTTTCATGCATGCTAGACAAGCACTCATCACTAAGCCATCTTCCCAGCCCCACAGAGCTATTTTTTGGATATTTTTAAAATTTCAGATAATTATTGTCCAGGGCTGGGAAGGTGGCTCAGTGGTAGAGCGCTTGCCTTGCATGCATGAGGCCCTGGATTGATTCCTCAGCACCACATAAGCAGAAAAAGCCGGAAGTGGTGCTTTGGCTCAAGTGAAGAGCTGAAGGACAGCGCCTAGGCCCAGAGTTCAGGCCCCATGACCACCACTAGCAACGAAAAAGAGTCTCACAGACTTTCCTGCCCAGGCTGGCTTTGAACTGCAATCCTCAGATCTCAGCCTCCTGAGTAACTGGGATTACAGGCGTAAGCCACCAGTGCCCAGTTGTCAATTAATCTTTTTTTTTTTTTGCCAGTTGTGGGGGCTGAACTCTGGGCCTGGGCGCTGTCCCTTAGCTCCTCAGCTCAAGGCGAGTGCTCTACCCCTTGAACCGCAGCACCACTTCTGGCTTTTTCTGCTTATGTGGTGCTGAGGAATCAATCCAGGGCCTCATGCATGCAAGGCAAGTGCTCTACCACTGAGCCACCTTCCCGGCCCGCAACAATTGATTTTTTATGTTGTAATTTTTTTTTTGGGTCCGGTCATGGGGCCTGAACTCTGGGCCTGGGTGTTGTCCCTCAGCTCTTCGGCTCAAGGCTAGCGCTCTACCACTTGAGCCACAGTGCCACTTCCGGCTTTTTCTTTTTGCTTATGTGGTGCAGAAGAATCGAACCCAGGGCCTCATGCATGCAAAGCAAGTGCTCTACCACTGAGCCACCTTCCCAGCATTGATCCTAGGCATTGATCCTAGGATCTTGCATATAGCTCTCATGTGTTTGACCACTGAACTACATTCCTAGCCCCATTTTAACTTTGTTTGGAGGCAGGTTCTTGCCAAGTTGCCCAGGCCAACCTCAGACCTTGTGATCCTCCTGTCTTAGCCTCCTTACATCGCTGGGATTACAGGCACCTGGCATCTATCTTGTTTGTAACTTTCTTAGCTATTCTATTACACTGCAGCCAGAGTAGTGGTAGACCAGGCTTAGTAGCTTATGCTTATAGTCACAGCAATTGAGGGTGGAGGCAGCCTGAATGAGCTACAAACAGCTAGACCTTGTCTCAAAGTAGCAAGGGTTACAGTGGAGCTCAGTGGTAGAGTTCCTGCCTAATAGGCACAAGGCCTTGAGTCTGATCCTTAATACACCCCACGGCCCTGCCCCCACAGAGTGCTATTATGAGTTTATAGTAATAAGAATGACCACAGACCTTACATAACTGGGAAGTACAGGAAGGAAGTATTGAAAAGTAATTTTTACTGGGACTTGAACTTGGTCTTGTGCTCTTTTTTTTGGTCTGTCTGTCATAGGGCCTGAACTCTGGGCCTGGGTGCTGTCCCTCAGCTCTTCAGCTCAAGGCAAGTGCTCTACATACCACTTGAGCCACAGAGCCACTTCCGGTTTTTTGGTGGTTTATTATAGATAAAAGTCTCATGGACTTTGCTGCCTGGGCTGGCTTTGACCCAACAGCTTCCTGAGTAGCTAGAAGTACAGGTGTGAGCCACCAGCGCCAGCTTTCTTTTTCTCTGTCTCTGTCTCTGCCTTCCTCTTTCTTCCTTTTCGCTCCTCCTACTTTCTTTTGTTGCTGGAACTAGGGCTGGAACTCTGGGCTTGGGTGCTGTCTCTGAGCTCCTTTTTTGCTCAAAGTTAGCTCTCTACCACTTGAGCCACAGAGCCACTTCTGGATTTTTCTGTGATTAATTGGACATAGTCTCCAGAACTTTCCTACCCAGACTGGCTTCACACTGCTATCCTCAGATCTCAGCTTTGTAGCTAGGATTATAGGCATGAGCCACTGGCACCTGGCTTTCCTTTTTATTTTGCCAGTCCTGGGGCTTGAACTCAGGGCCTGGGCACTGACCATGAGCCTCTTTGTGCTCAAGGCTAGCACTCTACCACCTGAGCCACAGCACTACTTCCAACTTTTTCTGTGTATGTGGTGCTGAGGAATGGAACCCTTGGCCTTATGCATGCTTGCTAAGCAGTCTACCACTAGGCCACATTCCCAGCCCTTCCTTCTGTTTCTTTTTTCTTTTTTTTCCTTTCTTTCTTTTTTTTTTTTTTTTTGGGTCTGGTCATGGGGCCTGAACTCTGGGCCTGGGCGCTGTCCCTCAGCTCTTCAGCTCAAGGCTAGCACTCTACCACTTGAGCCACAGCGCCACTTCCAGCTTTTTTTCTTTTTGCTTATGTGGTGCTGAGGAATCGAACCCAGGGCCTCAGGCATGCAAGGTAAGCGCTCTACCACTGAGCCACCTTCCCAGCCCCTCTATTTTTCTTTTTTCTTTTCTTTCTTTTCCTTCCTTCCTGTCTTTCTTTTTTATTTTATTTTATATTTTTGGTCACGGGGCCTGAACTCTGGGCCTGGGCGCTGTCCCTGAACTCTTCAGCTGAAGCTAGGGCTCTGCCACTTGAGCCACAGCACCACTTCTGGCTTTTTCTGTGTATGTGGTACTGAGGAATCAAACCCAGGGCTTCATGCATGCTAGGCAAGCACATTACCATGAAGCCACCTTCCCAGACTTTCCTCCTGATTTTTTTTTTTTTTGGTCGGTTGTGGGGCCTGACTCTGGGCCTGGGTGCTGACCCTCAGCTCCTCAGCTCAAGGCTAGTGCTCTACCACTTGAGCCACAGTGTCACTTCCGGCTTTTTCTGCTATTGTGGTGCTGAGGAATCGAACCCAGGGCCTCACACATGCAAGGCAAACACTGTACCACTGAGCCACCTTCCCAGTCCTTCCTCCTGATTCTTAAGCATAGTAATACTTTCCTTTTACATCCAGAATTTACAGAAAATTTTATTCTTTAAAAATATTTTTGCAAGTTGGGCACCAGTAGCTCACGTCTGTAATGCTAGCTACTCAAGAGGCTGAGATCTGAGGATCATGGTTCTAAGCCAGCCCGGGCAGGAAAAGTCCATAAAAGTCCATGACTCTTATCTCCAATAAACCACCAGAAAACCGGAAGTGACGCTGTGGCTCAAGTGGTAGAGCACTGGCCTTGAGCTGCAGAGCTGAGGGACAGTGCCCAGGCCCAGAGTTCAAGCCCCACGACCAACCAAAAAGAAAAAAAATCAATATTTTTGCATCAGTGAAATAGAAATTCAACAGCTGTTTCCATTGGCAAGTTTAGGGACATCTTCAAAAAATTATCAACAAGAAATCTATCCAATGCAGAATTGAGTATATCGCTCAACTCCGTGGTAAAGTGTATAACGGGTGTCCAGGCCTTGTGTTTCAACCTCAATTCTGCAAAAAAACATCACTATGAAACAGAAATTACCTTCTAATGTAAACTGCATGTCTCAGAACTTCTAGAACACACAGATCCTCGCAGGCCAATGAATCACCGCGTCCTTCTAGGGTTGTGTGGTTCAAACCCATGAAGAAAAGGGAGCCAGAAGCAGATACTGTGACCGTATAGTTTCTGAAGGGTTCTCCCAGACACAGGCATGCTCGTAACCTCCGGGCACAGCAGAGCCCCCGTTCCAGCGGGGCCTGGGCTGGGCCCCCTCTTCTGTGGGGCCAGATTGGCCTCCCGTGTGCAAAGGAGTCTGAGGTTCTCATGCGCACTGTGTCACTGAGGAGCTGGGCGCCGGACCCCGGCTGTCATCCTAGCGACTCAGGAGGCTGAGATCTGAGGATCGCGGTTCGAAGCCAGCCCAGGCAGGAAAGTCTGTGAGACTCTGCAATGAATCACCAGAAAACCGGAAATGGCGCTGTGGCTCAAATGGTGCTCTAGAGCTGAAGAGCTCAGGGAGAGCACCCAGGCCAGAGTTGAAGCCCCACAACCGACCAAAAAACAAAACAGTCACTGCGGGAAGACACCAGTGTCCTTTCTGGGTTGGGACCAAACTCTAAGATGAGATGAAAACCAGATTGCTGAGGGCGGAGTCCACTCACTGGGAAGCTGAATCCATTCACCTGTCAAGCCCTCCCACTCTGTCAATCAATCAGAAGGCTGTCCAATCAGGTCAAATCCACCTAGCAGGCCCTCCGTCTGTCAATCAATCTGAAGAGTGTGGGCCTATGAGAACTGTCCAATCAGAAAGTCAATCTGAAGGGGCGTGGTCCCGAGAACTGTCCAGTCAGATGTGACCTTGCGCCTCTGCACACTCGCTTGTGTGACTGGGCGCTACTCTGCCCTCTGTGACGCGCGTGGGAGCCCGCATCGAGGCGCTCGGACACCCCAAAGCCTGGAAACGGTGAATGAGGGGCCAGGCAACCCTCGGAGCACAGGAAGGGTTGCTGGAACCAGCCTGATCCCACCTTGGAGGACCTGAGCCTCGAACCTGCGTCCTTGCTTGTGCTGCTCCGCTCTGGGTTCCCCCCATCCCGTGGGGATGTGGTGTACCGGCACAGCTGTCTATGCAGTTCCGTACCGGACGCTCCTGTCCTGGGTGGAGGTACTGAGTGGAAACCCACAGCCCTGCTCACGGCCCAGCTCTTCCTGGGCTGGCTAGTTAGTCCCCGGCCCCAAATTCACCTTTAACGGTCTGCCTTCGTTCCACTGATCAAACCCACCAATTTTGATTTGCAATGCTGAGGATGGGGTTTTTGGGGCGCGCCCAGGCCAGGAGGCGCTACACCCTCGCCTCAGCATGCAGGATTTTAATTTTTAACTCCCCAGGGCAACAGATGACTTTAAATATGCATACATATGTATACACTTATTATTTTTGGTTGGTCATGGGGCTCGAACTCTGGGCCTGGGCGCTGTCCCTCAGTTCTTCAGCTCCAGGCCAGCGCTCTACCACTTGAGCCACAGGGCTACTTCCATTTTCTGGTGGTTTATTGGAGATAAGAGTCTCACGGACTTTCCTGCCCACGCTGGTCTTGACCCTCCATCCTCAGATCTCAGCCTCCTGAGTAGCTAGGATGACAGGCGTGAGCCACCAGCGCCTGACCATACTTGTTTTCTATTTGTCTTTTTTTTTTTTTTCTTTCACAGTGCTGGGGACCAAATCTAGGGTCTCATATTTGCTAGGAAAATACTCTTCAACTGAGCCTCACCTAAGCCTTATTTGTGGTTTTTCTGTATGAGAGTAGAAAGAGAATACCTGATGTTTCTCTCTCTTCTCCGCACCCCCCCCAAAAAAAAACAAAACAAAAACATTGGTATCTTAGCAGGATGTCTTTAGGTTGTTCATGGAGGGAAGCCAGTAGGTCCTGTCTGGGTAGGATATAACTCAGTATGTACAGATTTAGATGCTAAGAGGGTGGTGGTTAGTTGAACCATAGAAGCAAAGGAGAGAGGGTGCACCCTTGTGTTGGCACAAAAGAGAAAACAGCAAACAAGTATGTGATTTTATGTGGGTGTGCCAATCCTGGATCTTGACTTTTGGGCCTGGGTAATGTCCCTGAGCATTTTTGCCCAAGGTTGGCGCTCTACTACTTGAGCCACAACCCTACTTCTGGCTTTTTCTGTGTATGTGGTCCTGCAGAATGGAACCCCGGACTTCTTGTATGCTAGCCAAGCACTCTACCACTAAGCCACAATCCCAGGTCAGGCACCAAGTTTTTTTGTTTTTTGTTTTGGTCTGGTTGTGGGGCCTGAACTCTGGGCCTGAGCACTGTCCCTCAGCTCTTCAGCTCAAGGCTAGTGCCCTACCACCTGAGCCATAGTGCCACTTCCAGCTTTTTTCTTTTTGCTTATGTGGTGCTGAGGAATCGAACCCAGGGCCTCAGGCATGCAAGGCAAGCGCTCTACCACTGAGCCAACTTCCCAGCCCTACCAGGCACCAAGTTTTTATGAACATATAATCTATAAGAACACAAGAGAATGTCTGAAAAATTATTCCAAACAGGAAGATTCAATAAAGACTTATAGAACACTCATAACTACAGAAAATCCGAAGTGAACTTAATCTAGAAATACACGTGCACACAAATACATGAGGAAAGAAACATGTTAGAATGTGGCAGATTTCAGTGTAAAATGGTAATTATGGCTGGGCACGGAAGCCAGGACCTTATGCCCTATGTATGCTTTTTTTTTTGCTGGTTCTGGGGCCTGAACTCTGGGCCTGGGTGCTGTCCCTCAGCTCTTCAGCTCAAGGCTAGCGCTCTACCACTTGAGCCACAGCGCCACTTCCAGCTTTTTCTGCTTATGGGGTGCTGAGGAATTGAACCCAGGGCCTCATGCATGCAAGGCAAGCGCTCTACCACTGAGCCACCTTCCAGCCCAATGCATGTTTATTTCTGATGTGCCCTACGACCACGCCCGTCGGTATCCACACAGGGTCCACACTGCCTGCGGTAATACTGGGTCCCATCCAGGAGAATTTGGCATCCTGAGTAGTCACATGATCACATCCCACAAATATGAGCACGTTCTGTGCTCTCAACGTTTTCTATTCCCTGTCTGGCTTTTCTATTCACTGCAGGCCAACAGTAGCTTCTCATCTCCAGTTACATAAGACACAAACCAATGCACACTATCAAGAAATATCCTTCATAGGTGTTTATTGGAATACAAACGTTTGAATTTCCAAGATAAATTGATATTGTTAAAGATTTCTGAGGGAATCAAACTTTAATTTCAGGTAATTAGGGGGCAGAGATCAGGAGACTGGTTTTCTGGCCATCTGGGATCAAAAAAAAAAAGAAAAGAAAAGAAAAGAAAAAAAGGTGAAATTCTTATCAGTAAATCAGCTGACAATGATCAGTGGAGGCATGAGTAAACCCAGCTTAAGTGAGAGCCATAAATAGGAGGATCACAGTATATGGCAACTCTAGACAAAAATACCTTTTCAGAAAAAAAAAAAATGTGAAACAAAGGGCTGGAGGTGTGGCTCGTCAGAATGCTTGCCACTAAGCAGTGCCAGAGAGTAAAACGCTGGGATTACTAAGAAAGAAAAATAAGCCAAGTGCTGGTGGCTTATACCTGTCATCCTAGCTACTCAGGAGGCCAAGATCTGAGGATGGCAGTTCGAAGCCAGCCTAGTCATACAAGTCCTTGTGAGACTCTGATCTCCAATTAAGTACTCAAAAAGCAGAACTGGAGCTGTGGCTCAAAGTGGTGGAGTGCAGTCCTTGAGCAAAAAGAGCTCAAGGACAGCATCCAGCCTCAGGAGTCACCAAAAAGCCCAAAAACCAAAAAAAACAAAACACTTGCTTATAAGACATTCTTAATTTATCTATATAATTGCTTTTATTCTCCACTGATGGACTGGAGAGTAAAACATGACAATAGAGGCTTCTATTCTGTGAGGGTTCATCTTCCACAAATCATACAGTGACTTAGCTACTGTGGGTTTGCACTGTAATATTAACGAGACCATGCACAAAGTTTTCAGGTGTTTTTTTTTCAGGTAATCTTTTACAATATGTGGGAAGATCTTTCTTTCCAATCAGATATTTTTAAGTCATAGTGACCTCTCAAGCCGCGGTGTGTGAGAACACAGGAAGAAGTTAGTGGGAGGTGTTATGTGCACGGAGCTGGCAGTGATGGCAATCTCATTCTCTGCTGTGCCCCGGCAGAGCTGTTACACGGTTCCCCAGGCAGCAGACGTGAAGTGGAAGCTGACCATCCCACAGAAGCCTGGATGTGGCGAGCACGTGGCCATTGTTCGCTGCACAGATTTCAAGGTTCTTGATGCCTGAGTATATTTTCTCCCAACTTCCCCGCAGTCCATTTCCAGAATGTCTTCCTTGTGTGATTCCTGGTAAAAGTGCTTTGTATGTTCATCCTATTTATAGGATTTCCACCAAGAGTTTACACTAAGACAATGAGGCATGATTTATGATAGAAAAACATCTCATGTCTTTTTTCTTTTTGTGCCAATCTTGGGGCTTGAACTCAGGGCCTGGGCATTGTCCCTGAGATTTTTCACTCCAGGCTGGTGCTCTAGCACTTGGGAGCCACAGCTCCATTTCTGGTTTTTTGCTGGTTAATTGGAGGTTAGAGTCTCACAGACTTTCCTGACTAGGCTGGCTTTGAACTGTGATCCTCAGATCTCAGTCTTCTGAATAACTAGGATTACAGGCGTGAGCCACTGGCACCTGCCCTCACCATTTTTATTGCATTTTGGGGCCTCACAAGTGCCCTGCTACTTAATTACATCTCCCTCATCTTTTACAAATGCCCTCCTGCATGCATCAGTTGTAATACCTTTGATTTGGGTCTTTCTTTTTTTGTTAGTCGTGGGGCCTGAACTCTGGGCCTGGGCGCTGTCCTTCAGCTCTTCAGCTCAAGGCAAGCTCTCTACCACTTGAGCCACAGCGCACTTCTGGCTTTTTTCTGCTCATGTGGTACTGAGGAATCGAACCCAGGGCCTCGTGCATGCGAGGCAAGCACTGTACCATCGAGCCACCTTTCTGGCCCCTGATTTGGGTCTTTTTGTGCAAACATTTTCCACATTCTTTAATAGTTCAGGACTTCTGGTATGAGTGTCCCCGTGCAGTGAATTGTGGCAGGACATCTTTTTACATGTCTATATCCCAGTGCTGTGTCACCTCTATGGGGTTACAGTGCCTGGACACTGTGCTTCAGCTTTTTCAGCTCAAGGCTAGCACTGTACCCTTTGATCCACAGCTCCACTTCTGGCGTTTTGGTACTTAATTGGACATAAGAGTCACACAGACTTTCTTGCCTGGGCTGGCTTTGAACTGTGAGCCTCAGATCTCAGTCTGCTGAGTAACTGAGATTACAGGCATAAGCCACTGGTGCCAGGCCAAATTGTGACTTTATCACTATGGCTTCACGACTGTTTGAGGTCTGGGTGTTTATTTATGTCACTTGTAGGGCTTGAACTCTGGGCCTGGGCGCTGTCCCTCAGCTCTTCAGCTCAAGGCTAGCGCTCTACTACTTGAGCCACAGCGCCATTGGTTTTCTGGTGGTTCATTGGAGGTAAGAGTCTCACGGACTACTTTCCTGCCTGGGCGGACTTTGAACCGTGATACTCGGATCTCAGCCTCCTGAGTAGCTAGAATGACAGGCGTGAGCCACTGGTGCCCAGCTTTATTTTTTTTAGTACAGACTTTGCCTTTTTTTCTGTGAGAGGCAGTATTTCTTAACCTGATTAAGTTCTAGGCTTTATAGTGGGTGATGTCAACTTACGAAACCATTTCCCTTGGCCACCTCCCTCGCTCACCGGGCCTGTCGCCTGTGGGTCCTTTGGTGCACGGTCAAGTGTGACAGCTGGTTGAATGTCTTCCCGCACTGCTGGCACGCGTAGGGCTTGTGGCCTGTGTGCGTCCTCTGGTGCACGGTGAGGTGGGACTGGCGGTAAAAGGACTTCCCGCAGTCGTGGCACGCGTAGGGCTTCTCGCCCGTGTGGATTCTCTGGTGCACCGTGAGCGAGGAGAAGTGCTTGAAGGCTTTCCCGCACGTGCTGCACACGTAGGGCTTCTCCCCGGTGTGGATCCGCTGATGGGAGGTGAGGTTGGATTTGCAGAAGAAGGCTTTCCCGCACATGGTGCACTCGTACGGCTTGTGTCCGGTGTGGAAGCGCTGGTGCACGGTGAGGTTGGATTTGGAGATGAAGGTTTTGCTGCAGCGGTCGCACCCGTACGGCTTCTCCCCGGTGTGGGTCCGCAGGTGGACCGTGATGGACGCCAGGCGGTTGAACGTTTTCCGACACTCTTTGCACTCGTAGGGCTTCTCGCCCGTGTGGATCCTCTGGTGGATGGTGAGCGAGGAGATGTGTCGGAAGGTCTTCCTGCAGTCCCCGCACGCGTAGGGCTTGGCCCCCGTGTGCGTTCTCTGGTGCACGGTCAGATGGCCTCTCTGCTTGAACGTTTTCCTGCACTGCCCGCACTCGAAGGGCTTCTCGCCCGTATGCGCCCGGCGGTGAACCGCCAGGTTGGACTCGAAGAAGAACGTCTTCCCGCATTCTGGACATTCGTATCTCTTCTCCGCCTTGTGGCTTTTCTGGTGCCTGCTGAGCTGGGACCTCTGGTAGAAGCGTTCCCCGCAGGCCTTGCACGTGTAGTGTCTTTCCGCCGTGTCCAGCTTTCGAGGACCAGGCCGCTCGGGCTTCTGCCCCAAGAACTTCATCCGTTCCCTGCGTCTGCGAGGCGCGGGGCCTGCAGACGATCCATGTTGGGCCAGGAGCAATTTCTCGCCACTGCTGCGACCGTAGTTCTCTCCTTTGGGGGCTCCCCCCCGGGTTCTGCGTGGAGACATTGGGCGGACCACGATCCCACGGACATCACGGTCTAACGTCCTCTCTTCTATCCAGGGCTTCCCTTGGGTGGCCAGCGCCACCTTCCCCAGGGATTTCCCACACCCCCTCAACGTCCTGGCGCTGTCCCCCTTCCGAAACTTCTTGGGGGCCAGTAACAGCGCCTTTGTGCTGAAGGAGTTCCCTGATCCCAAGTATTTCAGGGGCGGGTGAGCACCGCGAGCCTGGCTGCTGCGCAGGCCCAGCGGCTCAGTGACGTCAGGACCGTGGCCGTCCTCATTGGCGGGCATCTTTTCGGACTCACCAGGGGCAAGCTCCTTGGGCCTCAGTCTTGAATGGTTTCTGGTCTTTGGGCTCTGGTTTGTAAGACGAGTTGTGGGCGAATGAGGTGTGTTCCTACGCCGGGCCATGGCTTCAGGCGAGACGGTGCTTGTGATCTGCCACAAGGGTCTGTCCAGATTTTCCGGGCTTGTCTTCAGCAGGACGGTCGCTCTGCGCAGGCCTAGGATAGGGTGAGAAAAGGAACACTCGATGAGCCCATGCCTACGGAGTCTTTCATGGAATTAAAGACAGAAAAATGCAATCAAAGTGTAGGATTCCAAAAATATGACCTTACTAAAGTGTGGATTTTGGTCCTAATCAGTTAGTAGAAAGAAATGGTTACCTGGGCGCTGGTGGCTCACACTTGTAATCCTAGCTACTCAGGAGGCTGAGATCTGAGGATCGGGGTTCAAAGCCAGCCTGGGATGAAAGTCCGTGACACTCTTATCTCCAGCAAACCACCAGAAAACTGGAATTGGCGCTGTGGCTCAAGTGGTAGAGCGCTAGCCTTGAGCTGAAGAGCTGAGGGACAGCGCCCAGGCCCAGAGTTCAAGCCCCATGACCAACAAAACAAAACAAAAAAACAAAGAACTTTTATGCGGTTTTAAACACTAAGTACTAGTTCTTTTTTTTTTTTTTTCCTTTTTCTTTTTGGGAAAAAGAAAGTGGAGATGTTTACACAGTTACCTGTTACGCTGTAGGTTTAGCACACAACCTTCCCCTGCCACTGATTTTCTTTGCTCACAGCAGTTCTATTTCTGCCTTTTTGGTGGTTCATTGGAGATATGAGTCTCACGGACTTTCCTGCCTGGGCTGGCTTCAAACCGTGATCCTCAGATCTCAGCCTCCTGAGTAGTTAGGATGAGAGGTGTGAGCCACTGGTGCCTGGCTACAGATTTGATTCTCTGAACTATACTAATAGATAAATTCAATACCCAGAGTCCTGCAATAGGAAACTCTCAACTCTTCAGGATGAAACTCTTGTTTTGTGTGGATTTCCTACACACCACAACCTGCTGTCAGAGCCCCAGCTCCCCCAACACCTGGCTCTCAGGCAAGGAACATCTTGCCTTCATTAATTCTCATTTTTTTAATCAATTCCATAGGTGGCTTCTTCAACAAATGCTATTCCAGTGCTACTATAAGCTCCCATTTCCAAATATCTAACTCCTATCATCACAGTCATTCAAGCCTATATTTTACGTCAGTGTATTTTACAGACTAAACAGGGGAAATATCTTACTACCGTAAATATTTATTGCTCCCATCAATACCATGGTCCTAGCCAGGCCCCAGTGGCTCAAGCCTGAAATCCCAGCTATTCAGGAGGTTGAGATCTGAGGATTGCAGTTCAAAGCCAGGCTGGGCAGGAAAGCTTGTAAAACTCACATCTCCACTACCAAAAAGGCAGAAGTGGAGCTGTGGCTCAAGTGGTAGAGCACTAACCTTGAGGGAAACAACTCAGAGACAATGCCCAAGCCCCAGGACTGGCACCAAAAACAAAACAAAACAAACAAAATAACTGTGGTCCTTTAGATGTGTCCTAAAATAGAACACCAAATATTCTTTTTTTTGGGTCAGTTGTGGGGCTTGAACCCTGGGTCTAGGAACTGTTCCTGAGCTCTTCAGCTTAAAGCAAGTGCTCTACCACTTGAGCCACAGCACTACTTCCCCAAATAGTCTTTGTTTCACTTTTTTATCTTAAAGTTAGTTCTTCAACAGGAAATGCTTTATTATCAATATTCCCATAATGACAAAGACCAATTCCTAGGGGTTAATGGAATAAGAATTGTTAAAAGAAGTAAAAAATTACAAATGCTGGGCTGGGAAGGTGGCTCAGTGGTAGAGCGCTTGCCTTGCATGCATGAGGCCCTGGGTTCGATTCCTCAGCACCACGTAAGCAGAAAAAGCCGGAAGTGGCGCTGTGGCTCAAGTGGTAGAGCACTAGCCTTGAGCTGAAGAGCTGAGGGACAGTGCCCAGGCCCAAAGTTCAGGCCTCACGACTGGACCCCCAAAAAAAAAAAAAAAAAAAAATATATTAAAGCCAGGTGCTGGTGGCTCATGCCTGTCATCCTAGCTACTCAGGAGTCTGAGATCTGAGGATTGTGGTTCAAAGCCAGCCTGGGCAGGAAAGTCCATGAGACTCTTATCTCCAAT